GACTCTCCCCCTTCAAAAGTGAGTTTAAAGACTATTTATATGGGATATGGTTAGCATGGGGCGAAATAATACAAGAAAAGACTTTTCAGGTTAGCTTGTTCCCTCTTTCGTGCGCACGCGAGAGTGAACGAGCGAAGTACTTCTCTTTGTCTTTGCCTCCCAAATCTCTTGTGCACTTTCATGCTTTTTTAGCTTAGTTCGCTATTTTTTTTTTCAAGTTTTCCTCAGCTAGCTCGTTCACTATCTCGTGCAGTGGTGGATCTAGAATTTGTAAGTTATGGGTGTTGAACTATTATTTATCTAGAAATTACTATTAAGATAAGTGCTCAAGTAATATATTTGTAAGAATTATTCCCTCCGTTCTAGTTTATATGAACCTATTTCTTTTTTGGTCCATTCCAAAAAGAATGACTCCTTTCTAAATTTGGAAACAGTTTAGCTTAAACTTCCAATTCTACCCTTAATGAGAAGCTTTTATAACCACAAATACTCTGACCCCTTTATGACTTGCTTAGGATCACAAATTCCAAAAGTCTTCATTTTTTCTTAAATTTCGTGACCAGTCAAACAGGTTCACATAAATTGGAACGGAGGGGGTACTATCTTTTTTATATAAATAATAATTCATGACTCCAAAAGTAATGGGTGCTTGAGCACCCATAACCGTCAACATAAATCCGCCATTGCTCTCGTATGCACGGGAGAGTGAACGAGCAAAGTTCTTCTTTTGTCTTTTGGTCCCGAATTAACTTCTTTTGCTCACATTTCGCCCAACTTGCTCCTACACATAAGAATGAATGTAATGAGCATAATTCACTACAAAAACTCATGTAACCTCCCGCAACCACACAAGTTATGAGATGAAAGTACACCGAAAAATATGCATTTTTAGCCGTTTATCATCTGCGTACATACTATCCTCCTCAGACCCCACTTGTGAGATTACACTGGTCTGTTGTTGTTGAAATCGTGATTATGAACTCCAAAGAAAATATCAACACGTTAAAATTATATACTCCCTCAATCCCAATTTGTTTGAGGCACAATTCGAATTCTGAGAGGCAAACGAGTTCTTCTTTGATGACCAGAATTTTTTCATATACCTTTTAAATAGTTTAAATTGTTACTTATTATAATTTATAGTACTTTTTATGTAGTTATTTAAATATGTAATTTTATTAAGAAAAAAAAACTTAAAATATTTTACATCCGAATACACGGTCAAAATTAAAAAATTTAACTCTCAAAATCTGAAATGTATCAAACAATTGGGACGGAGGGAATACTAAAATGATAGTATTAACTTTGAAAAAAAAGATCTTTAATTTAACACATGAAAGAAGCTTCCAAATGACTCCTAATTACATTTATTTGTATCTATGGAGAATTTTGTTCGTTTGTCATGTTACGACTACTTTCATAATATTATAAAATTTAAAGGGAAATATGCATGCATGTGTTGCGAAAAGAAAGTAGATATGGTACGTTTAATTTCTTTAATTTCTAGTAGCATTTCTTACTTTCACATGTAAGAAAATTCTTTCATCCTCTAAACTAGTTAGCGAGTTTGATTCATGTATTTTTTCTATAACGATTCGGTTGGTTCTTTTGAGAGTTGTAGCCGTGTTTCCTCATTTTCTGCTTTTTTTGCGTTCTGTAGTTGTATTATGACTTACCGGGTTAGTTGATTTAGGTCCGGAGTAATTTAGGAGTGAATTGAGACACTTAGTCTCTTAATTGAAAGCTTAAGTAGGAAAAATTGACCGGATATCGACTTATGTGTAAACGACCTCGAATTTAAATTTTGATGATTCCGTTATCTCCTTTAGGTAATTTTGGACTTAGAAGCGCGTCCGGATTGTGTTTTGGAGGTTCGTAGTAGAATTAGACTTGAATTGGCGAAAGTTGGAATTTTAGAAAGTTTGACCGGGAGTGAAATTTTTGATATCGGGGTCGGATTGGATTTTCCAAAGTTGGAGTAGGTTCGTGGTGTCATTTATGATTTGTATGCAAAATTTGAGGTCAATCGGATGTAATTTGATAGGTTTCGGTGTCGTTTGTAGAATTTGAAAATTTCAAAGTTCATTAGGCTTGAATCTGTGTGTAATTCGTGATTTTGATGTTATTTGAGGTGATTTGAGGGTTCGACTAAGTTCGTATGATGTTTTGGACTTGATGGTATGTTTGGTTGGGATCTCGAGGGCCTCGGGTGAGTTTCAGATGGTTAACAGATCATTTTTTGACTTTGGTTGACAGTTGATAACTGCTGGTGTGATTCATCTGGTTTTCTCTTATGCGTTCGTGAGGGAAGTCTCGCGTTCGCGAAGTGTTCTTGGAGGCTGATGGAAGTTGTTCTTCGCATTCGCTAAGAGGAGACCGCGTTCGTGCAGGTGTGGTCAGTGGAGACATCGCGAACGCGAGAAGTGGAACACGTTCGGGAAGAGGAATGAGGCAGCTGGGGACCCCATCCTTTTGGTCTATGCGTTCGCGGGGCAGGGGTCGCGTTCGTGAAGGTCAGAGTTTTCAAAGGTTCGCGTTCGCGAAGGTTTGGTCGTGTTCGCGAGGGGTTTAGTTGAGAGGCAGTCGGAATTGTTCTACACGAACGCGAGTGGATGGCCGCGTTCGCGAAGAAGGAAAATCTGGGAAGCAGTGTTAAATTTCATAAACGAGGGTTTGAATCCATTTTTTATATTTTGAGCTAGAGACCATGGATTTAGGCGATTCTTGAAGGGATTTTCGTGGAGTTGATTGGGGTAAGTGACTCTTACTTGGTTTTGGCTAACTTCCATGATTATGTCCTTAATTTCATCATCTAATTTGTGATTTGGGGTAGAAAATTGGGGGAAAAGAGGAAGAATAGAACGTTAGATTTTTGAGGTTTTGAATGGAATTTTGTAATCGGATTTGAGTAAATTTGGTATGGTTAGACTCATGAGTGAATGGGCTTTTGGGTTTTGTGACTTTTGTCAAATTTCGAGACATGGGCCCGGGGGCCGGGTTCAGGCCGATTTCGGATTTTTGGCTATAATTTAGTACTTTTCTTATGGAATTGCTCGCTTTAGCCTATATTGATTGTATTGTACTATTTGTGGCTAGATTCGGGACATTCGTAGGTCAACTTACGAGGCAAAGGCATTTTGGAGTAGCATTTTGGTCGGATTGAGGTAAGTAACAGTTATAAATCTGTTCCTAAGGATATGAAACCCCGGATTTTGTGTCATGTGATTATTTTGGAGGTGATGCACATGCTAGGTGACGGGCGTGTGGGCGTACACCGTAAGAATTGTGACTTGGTCCATTCCGTGAAACTGTAAAGTTGAATAACTTGTTGTTAGCTATATGCTCTTTGTGTGTTATATAAATTTGACTGTAAATCATGTTAGAAACCATGTTTAGGCTATGTGTTGGTACTGTTGGGGCCCACATAGGTTGCGTTACATGTTGAACTGCCTGTTTTATGCTATTTGTACTCACTCTCAGTTTTTACTTGCATATCGTATCTAAGTCTCTATTATTTATTATTGATACATCATGTTATTTCTGTTTGCGTAGACATGTAATTTTTTACCCTCCCCGAGATTTTACATATTTTAGTGTTTAAATATTTTGTTTTCGTCTAATATCGCTATTTTAACTAGTTTTGACTCTTTGACTTTATTATATCACAAAAATAAAAATTACAAAAATATTTTCTTTTATTTAACTAATTGATATTTTATCTAGTTACTTTTAGTTTATCTACATTTGTTCTCAAAAATATTAGTATTTTCTATAGGAATATTATTTTAATTTTTTCGATGATTTTAATCTAATTCCATTTTTATTTTTTAGTATGATATTTGAAAAATACCAAAAATAGGTTTGTTTTAACGGTTAGTTTTATTTTAATAGTTATTTCTACTTAAGTAGGATTACTTATGTGAGTAGTATTTTTAATCTTGTTCAATAAGAAAGAATCAAATTTGGGCTAAAACAATCCATTTTTAGGCCCATTTTCGAAATTAAGCCCTTAGCCTATATTCTCACTTCCCTAAAAAGAGACCTAATTCCACTAATCTAGGGCCCCTCATTTCCTTTAACCTTGAGCCACATCAAAAGAGAGGAGGAGATTTTCAACACTAATAAAAAAGGCCTTAGTGGCACCTTCCTTCAAAAAAAAAAAACCAGTAGTTGCCCGCATATCATCACCCTAACACCGCAACCCATCGTCCCTTCTACCTCTATTCCAAGCCATCAGATTTAGAGAAATAAAGGAAGAAGATTAACAAAGAACTAATCAGGTTATCTTCTCCAAGATTAAAAAAGGGGCTAGAGATTAGGATAGAGATAGAGAGGAATTGAGAGCTCACACGCATATACAGTCACATATGGGAAAGAAAATGGCTTATGTTACTGATTTTTAAGACAAGGAAAAAAACAAAAATGATGGCTTCTTCTCCATTTCGCCACCCGCTCCGCCGCTAACACTGACGACGTTTGTCGTTCAGCTCCAGCCTCTGTAGACATGTAATTTTTGACCCTCCTCGAGATTTTACACATTTTAGCATTTAAATATTTAGTTTAGGTCTAATATTACTATTTTAACTAGTTTTGACTATTTTACTTTATTTTGTCACAAAAAATAAAAATTACAAAAATATTTTCTTTTATTTAGGTAATTGGTATTTTATCTTGTTACTTTTAGTTTATCTACCTTTCATAAAATTCAAAAATACAAAAAATAGTTTCACTTTGTTTTCAAGGATATTAGTATTTTGGTAGTAGTATTATTTTAATTTTGCGATGATTTTAATCTAATCCTATCCTATTTTTAGTATAATCTTTGGAAAATATATATATATAATTATTTTGTTTTATTTCCATTTCAGTTAAAGTCAATTGTTAATTATACTTTATTATCTGTGATACTTTTATTTTACCCTTGGAAAAGAAGAATGAGTTTTGGGCCAATTTTGTGTTTTGATAGGTCCAATCTTAGGCTCATTTTCGGAATTTTTCCTTAGCCCATACCCCCCACTTCCCTAAAAATGACCTAATCCTTAACCTTTCTTCTGGAGTAAAAAAAAACCTAGGAGCTGAACCTAGAAATCGGCAGGCCCTTCAGCCATCTCCACATTTTCTTCTTCAACCTTAACACACATAAAAACTCTAAGAACACCCTTAGCTTCTTCTGCTAGACCCTAACCAAAGACCACAAAAAATGGGCAGACACACAAAAACAAGAGCTCCCAACGACAGCTTCTTCTTCAACCCTTGAACCACTCTAGACCGCCGCACACCCTACTGTCACCTAGCCTCATCACCGCCAGCCACTTTACTCGCCGGAACAAGACCTTGCCGCCATCAGTCCCTCGACCAACGATCCTCTTTGATTTCTGCCACTTTCCCCACCACCAAAAGTCGTCGTTCAAACCTCCACCCTAAGACACTAAAGGCAGCCGCCGGCCACCAACCTTAATAACCTTCACACCCCTGCCGCCGCCTCGAGCCGTCTCTCCCTAACTCCCAACGAGATCAGTTGTCCATCCCCACAAAGAAGACTCCTAACAGAACCCCTTTTGATTTTGAGCTCTTGTTTTGTTCTCTACTAAAAAAAACATACCCACGCATAGACATAGCAGAACAAGGAGATAGCGAGGTAGTCCGGTCAGAGTTCGACGAGGTTTTTCGGTTTAGATCTTATGCGTGGTTCCGTTGCTTAGCATCGTTTAACTGTCCAACAGTCGGATTTCATATCTATTCGAGGTTTACTTCTCCCTTTCTTTTACTATTTTAGCTTAATTCAATGCTTCCGGTAGTCTCGTTAATCTCTCTTTGATCCGTTTTGTTGATCTTTTAAATTAATGTTTCATTTTTGTTTGTGATGCCTTAGTAGAATTTGTTTGCCAGTTTTTTTGGTTATTTTGATTATTGTTTGTGTGTTTCTTTCATGTAATTTTATATTCGGGTAAATTCTTAATAGCTAAAGTAAATTTGGAGTTCCGTTAGGTTTCGAGACTTTAGGATTAATGATATAGTGATAGAAAATTAAGTTAACAAAGTTGAGTAAATTAGATGATCGTTTGGATGTTTGAAAGGTCTTATGCCGTGGGTTTGGGCTAAAAGTTAAAGAATGGCGCATATTGGATTGGGTTTGAAAAATATTTTATCACTTCTTTTATTCTAACTCTTAATTAAATTGTTTGGAGCATGTTAGGTCGTCATCACCCGGGGAAGGCAAACTTTAGGTCTTTTATTCTATTTTGTTTGAGGTAAGAGGTCGCTCCTTTTAGTTTATTATCCAGGGAATGCCTCACAAAATTTGTATATAGTATTATCCAGGTTATGCCCCGAAGTATATGTAAATGACAGCCAGAGACTGGATGACGCGAGGAAGTGTAGAATAGAACTTTAGTATTTTATTTTATTTTGTTCTTTCCCTTTTTAGTTGGGACGACCTCGATCCTCCTTCGTGTTTATTTTTACTTTTTTTTGGTGTTTGCACTTCAATTTGAGTATCCTATAAAGCCAACTGGATCATGTACGCAATTGTGACCTTCACGGGACTTGGGGAGTGCCTAACACCTTCTCCCCGAGTCAAATGAACCCCCTTTCCCGAATCTCTGGTGCAGACTTAGTTTTGGAGTCCAAAGTGTTTTAAAAGGAAAATTATTTTTAAAATGGTGACCTGGCACACCGAAACCAATGTCAGGTGGCGACTCTGAAAATTCCTTTTGAACACAATTTTGTCACTTTGTAATTAAAAACCCTTTTTAAGCTTTACAAATCTATTTTATTATTTTTAAGAGGGTTAGTGAGGTAGTAGAAAAAAGGTTGTGACAGCCTCTGATTCACCGAAAAATTTCATATCAACCGGAATTTCGACTTGAATTGATTGATATTCGAAACCATGGAATCCGATGAAGTTTGATGGAGGTCATTTTGGTTTCGAGCTTTCCGGTGCCGATTCGAGTCCCCGTCCGCAGTTCATCACAATTTTCAGTTCAAGCGTTGAAACAATCAATTTTCAGTTCTATTGAGAATTTGTCGAGCCTCTTTTTATTTTCTCTTCTTAGGTGGGGATGGCCTCGAGCCTCTTTTGTGTTTATTTTCTTTTTATGTATTTTTTTACCTCAATTTGAATATTTTAAAAGCCAACTAGATCGATTACGCAACTGTGACTTTCATGAAACTTGGGGAATGTCTAACACTTTCTCTCCAAGTCAAATGAACCCCCTTATCTAGAATCTCCGATGCAAACTGGTTTAAGAGTCAAATATGTTTTGAAGGAAAATTATTATTTTGAAAACGGTGACCTGGCACACCAAACCAAATGTCAGGTAGCGACTTTGAAAAAATCCTTTTAAACACAATCTTTGTCACTTTCAAAATTGAAAACCCTTTCAAGCTTCAAAATCTTTTTAATATTTTAAGAGGGTTAGTGAGGTGAAAAAAAGGGTGTGACAACTCTGGCGACTCTGTTGGGGAATTGCAGGTTCAAGCTGGTACTTGATCTTGCTGGCTTTTTAGAATATTCGGTTGAGGTTTTTTATGTTTTTTTTATTTACTTTTGTTTATGTTGTTTTATTTGCTAGTTGTTTTATGTGTTTACAGTTTTTCCTTTATGTGTTACTGCTTTATAATTGTCATCATATGCATCACCCTGAGTCAATTCTTTCTGCAACAAGTCTCGTAGTACGCGTCGCGTACACGAACTCTTTGTTGAGTCACCCTTATTTTAGAAGGGGGAGCCGTCGGACATATGGAGTGGGTGGAAAGCTTGAGCAGCCACTATCGATCATACGCTCCTCCGAATTGCCTTGTTAGTGAACCCCAAACGTAGGTCAGCCTTTAGGTCATTTTTATTTGCATCATATCATTATGACATAGCAGGGCCCGGTCCTAGGTACCGTGTCCTTTGTAGGAAGCATGTCCAAATGTGTCAAATGGGCCTACTAGCCCAAAATGACATTCAATCATCCTATGTGTTAAAAAGATTAGTGAGGGTTTATCACTTTTATTTTCTTGCCCAGTTTTCTAAAAAGATTAAAAAAGAAAAAAAAATTACACTTTCTTATTATTTTTTCAAAAAAGACAAAAAATAGTTTTTCAAATTAGTTGTGTTTTTTTCAAAAGCTTTCTCCCATGTCCAATCCTCCCGAATTATGCATACCTGATTCTCGTCTTTCGGGGCGGGATACGTAGGCAGCCCACATAGGGTCCAATTTTTCTAGTGAATCTTAGGTTGTTGGCTTCAGGGGTCGTAGCCAAATCGGGCATGTTTAGCCATATTTGGCCACGTCGGCCATTTTGATAAATAGGGCTATTTTTGCAAACAGGCTTGTTTAATTGTGTTTGGAGAGTCTTGAATCCACAATTAGGTATATCTTTACTTTAGGCTCGTCCTGGTCGAATTGCATGTCTAGCCGCATTTGGCCACATCGGCCATTCTTGCAAAATTGAATCATTTTCGCAAAAGTGGTTTAGTGACCCATGTCTTAGAGTCCTAAGTCCACAACAAGGTGTCCTCTCTTTTTAAGGTCCATTTTGTTGAGTTTGCACTTCTAGCCATTTTGTTTGCCACATAGGCTATTTCTACAAAGTAATTTTTTCATGTCTTAGGTCACCTTTGCTGAGTTTGCACTTCTAGCCACATTTTGGCCATGTAGGTCATTTTGCAAAAATAACCTTAATCATGCCTTGCATTTGTCCAATAGAAGGTGTCGTGGCGTCGCATAGTGTCTTGAGTCACTAATCTATTTGGTCGTATTTTTCTCATTCAGGCATGGATCTATGTACCAGAACTCGAGCATGACAGATACCCCAGGACCATCGCATTTGGGAGCTTGTTTGAAGAGATTTTTATATTTTGAGTCTGTTTTCATGTTTTCTTTTACTTTCTTGTCTTGTCTAGTAGTTTTGATTCTTTTAGGTGGTGTAAGAGTTTGCCGAGTCTTTTGTCATCGTACTTCTCATTTGTATTTGAAAAAAAATAGTTATAAATGAAAATCCAAAAAGATTTTTGTTTTTTAGTTTATTTTTTCCATTACTTTTTCAGAACTATGCTTGGTCTAATTCATGTGACACATGATACGTAGGCAACCTACATAGGATTCGAGCGAATCATTATTGAAAAAAGAAAAAAAAGAATGAAGTTATGGGATGTGAGAAATGAGCGGAAAGAAAAGTAGTGATAATTAGAAAGAAAAGAAGAAGGAAAATGAGCAAGCCAAGAAGTGCTAGAAAAGAAGGAAAAGAGAAGATTGAAATGAACAAAATTGGGATGATACCAAATGACCTTGTGACCCTCGAAGTCATTCTAGAATCGTTAATTGTTGCTAGGTGCATTGCACGCAATGTGATATTTCTATCTGATAAATTGCCTAACGCTAACATGTTGGCTTCATTTTGCCCCTCTTTGTTATCATCATTATAGCAGAAGGGTGGTTGGTTTGTGGTTCTTAAACTGGTAACTCATCCCTACAACATAAAGTCGAAAGGCAATGGCAGATGACAACAGATTTGAGTTAGTTGATACTGGTGCCCAAAAGTAATTGGTTGAACAAGACACTAGGTTGGTTGAAGAGGAAAGGATGTTAAGGCAACACATGGCGGATATGTATTAGGTTTGGATGGCTGGGAAGACACCACCCCTGCCACGACCTAGCTTCCTAGATGTTATCCTTACCCAAGCTCTGGTCATAGTGCCAGATGCAGCGGATACTAGCCAAATTCCATTGCCTATTTATATGAGACGCATATGTTGGGCATGATTTGTATTGAAAAGGAATATGAGAAATCCTCTGAATCCCTTGGAGGACCACTTATCGCGAAGTTTTCAGCGCTATCAGTCTCGGTTCCAGAGGTTGATCTTAAGAACGAGTTGGCAAAAGGGACCCAAAAGCTATTTGCTAAGGTCAATGTGATGGAGACTTGTGGAGGTTCTAGTAATATTGATGTGGAACTCAGTGGCTAAGATGTCGAGCTTGGTAATTGGAAATACACTCCTTTCTTGGCTAGCCAAGGAGGAGTTTTGGTGGTTTATTTTGTTATCATTTATGTTGTCCGAGTTATATCAGGGTTGTAATTCGGATATTGTCTTGTGGCTCAAACCCTTCTTCTTCTTATTTTGCATAGTTCGTTTAGTTGTAATAATACGTCTAGTATTATCTACGATTGTTCCAAAGTTGTAACCCATGTCTATTTTGCTTATTTTGTTCAAACTTTTTTCACCATCTGTCTAATGCAATCTCCTGTTTTCTGTTAGTTCTAGTCAGTTTTTGTTTAGGTCGTTTTTTCTTTTATAGTTCTTTTCATACTGACTCTAGTAACATGAAATGCACGCATAATTCTCAGCCTGGTCGTGAAAGTTAGTTTAATCATGAAGCAATGACACAGTTTTGAATATGATAAAATGATGCATTTGAGGAAACAAGTAAAGATTCACGCATTCTGAGATAACCTGAAGCTTGAATTGAGCAAAACTGAGGCAGTTAGTCTGGGAAATCAAGAGTTGATGAGAGCATACAACAAGGGAATATCTCTCAAGCAGTTTGAGGTAGATACGCCAGTGCTGAAATGCATTCTTCCACATCAAGATAAGGTTGAGTCAAGTTTGCTTCGAACTGCCATGGTTCATTCACTGGGACAAAGGTATTGCTCATTGACACTTTTTATTTTTGTTGATGCCATCAATAGATACTATGTATGATTTCTTTGCTTATCTTCGATTGCATGTTTGTACTTGACATTTTTAAAGTTTGGTATGACGAATGCATTTTATCTGCTACCTAAACACTTTTATCTTTTGCTACCCCTTTTGAGCCTTAATTTGTTTTATTTCATTCCCCTCTTTTGGAATCAGAAGCAGAGTTAGGAATTAGAAAAGAAAAAGAGAAAAAGAAAGGCAAAGAGAAAAAAAGGAGGAAAAAAAAAGAAAAAAAGACAAGAAAGAAAAGGAAAAGAAAAACAACAAAATAAACCAACTTTGTGTTTGAACTATGTTCGACCCGATTCCTTTTAAGGATACGTAGACAACCTTACTCTAAGATTTGGTCCCATCAAAACAAAAATCCAAAAGAAAAAAATCCCCAGACTCCAATAAACTGGGGCAGAAGTTTTAATTTTAGCCAAAAGATCTGATTCCAAAAGTTGTAATTTTGAACCCTTTCATCTTAAATTATTTTGAGCCTTCAGCCACCCTTTCTTCCCAACCCTGTCCAAAAGCCTACATTACGGTCCAAAGAAAGACCTTCCGACCAATCTTTGAGGATGCCAAATAAAGTGTGTGGTAAAAGTATGATCTTCTTGTATCATAGGTAAGGGTGGAAAATAGTCCGGGCCCGGGCCTCTTGGGCTGGTCCTAAGTGGGCTGATTCTATGTGGGCCCGGGCTTAAATGGTCTCGGGCTTCGTGGGGTTTTGGATGTAATCAAACCGGGACTAGGACCACGAACTAATGGTCTCGGGCTAAGTGGACCAGGCCCGGGCCCAAACGGGCCTAAGTGGGCCTGACCTATTTTTTTTAATTTTTTTATCTAAGGTAATTTCTTGTAAATTATATAGCTTATATATATATATATATNTCTCTTTTTACGTTTCTCTTTTTCCTTTCTTTTAACAGTAAAAAAAAATGATTCGATCGAACCCTATGTAGGTTGCCTACGTATCATGACCCCGCATGAATCAGATCTTTGCGTAGTTCTTGAAGATCGGGAATAAAATAAACAAACTAACATTTTCATTTTCTTTTCTTTCCTTTTTTCTTTTCTTTTTAAAACGGATGCTTCTATGAAAAATTATCAA